TGTGTACGTGACATCTTTTTTCTTTACTTCACAGTTCAACCCTCCTAGAGAAGAACATCTATTGATGCTTCATTCTTTTTTTTTATGAAACCAAAGGCAAAGAATAATGTGAACTCCATTTTAGGGTTCAATAAAAGATTCATTAAATTGAAGTCTCGTTTGAAAAATAAATAAATGGATACGGACCAACTGCAAAAGCATAGGTTTATGATGACGGATTACATAACCTAGGAAAGCGTGATTTTGTTTTATTTATAAACATGCGGGCATGGGTTCTAATCGTTGTGTAGTATTAATACAACCGCTAATTTCTACATGTTTATGAGGTTCACGACTATGAATCATTCCATGATATGAAATGTGACTTCTTTTATGATTTAAACATACAAGACATCAATTTATTTCATCATAGTTGATCTCGACAGACAACAATCATATTCGGTAGGAATTACATGTGTCGGTTCTTTCAAATCGTTACACTCAGCCTTTATTAGGTAATGTCTATCGATATGCTTAAGAACATTAGTAGAAAGATTGTGACTTATAATATATATATATATATATATATATATATATATATATATATATATTCTATTTTTGGTATGTAAGTATTACTTTTCATAGGTGACTTTCGAGTTTAGTTATTTATCGTGAGTAATAGAATTGTATTTTTTGATAAAAGGCAAATCGTATAGAAACACATCATACTATTGTTACTTAAGTTCATGTTAAATACCTAATTTTCTACTTTTTTTTAACCAACAAATCTAATCTATTCATAATATAACACCTAATTTTAAATATGTCTACGATGGAGTGAAACACCAAATAACCTTAAATAGAGGTAGATTTTATTGTTACACATTCATAAATTATGTCATTTTCAACCACCCCTACTCTCGATTTTCATCTCCTTAATCACCTTCCAACCATGTATACACAATATTAATGTACACGACAAAAGGGTTGTATATCCTTGCTGAATGCTGACACACATGAAATAATTTTCAAATCCATATCTAACAAAATTTATAAATAAATTTTTTTTAATTCAAAAATCAAAAATTTGTATTTATATTATTTAAATCATACCTTGAATGGGAACAGAAAAATAGAGACAATGTACTTAAATGGTAGAGGGAGGTCGTTATTTTGAAGCCGATTTGCATGCTTATGTATGTTCCTAAAACATTTGTGCATCTCGATGTAAGTGTGTGTCCCCAAAGACGTCCCCATACATATATGTTACATAAATAATTAACTTAGATTTTATAAATAAGAAGTTCAATAACAAATTAACTAATAATCTTCATAGGTATACCAATTTTATAAATTTCCAGTTAGTGAAAGTCACCTAGCTGTAACTTTGTCTCTATTCTTCTGGCCTAAAAATCATTAATAGGGAATGTAAAGTGATCACATTCTTACAGCGTCCTTATTAGTATTTGGAAAGAAAAATATCGTCAAAGATAAGACAATCAAACTCACCAAGCAGCGTCACACGAGATTCACTACATGGTTGATTTTATTATTTATATCTTGATGCCAACCGTCAAATTTGAATCCATTTAGTAAGCAAATTTCATCTCTCTCTCAACATCAAAATTTGTTCACCAAGTTCAGTCGTATACTCTCATGCCCGATTATGACACGGCACGACAAAAATACACAATACGAAACGAAATCGAAATTTGAATTTGTGTTCGTGTCAAGTGTAAAAAACACGACTTCGTGTCGTGTCTTGTTCGTGTTTAAAATTTAACACAAAATTGACACGATTTAGCATGTATTTTTCGTGTTTTCGTGCTTGTCGTGTTATATGTGATTGATTAGACTAGTGGGGTGTGCACAACTAATTAAGGGGTATTATCACACCTAAAAGTTTTCACATCACATGTCATGTCAATATAGTGTTATAAGATCAAATGATGAAATTGTCAACATACAATAACACCCTTAACTTTCAATGTCATCAATTTTTTTTCGTTTTTTTTTCTTTTTTCAGTTTATTTATTTTTATTTTTTCAATTTGTTTTCTATTCACGTTAGATTATTTCAAAAAAATGAAACATGCAATTTAATTAAATCCTAAATTAACCATAAAATTTAAAAAATAAAAATAAGATTACACAACAAAAAAAACATTGAAAATATGGTGTAATCCTTCGCTATTTTATCTTACTCGCTTGCTTACGAAGAAACTACAAGTGCTTACATTGCACATCAACCTTTTGTTGTGCGATTAGATTGTGGTGTAATCCTTCGCTATTTGATCTTACTCGATAAAAGGGCGTTACAATTCTTTATGGGAGCAACATGAGGCAACGAAAATGATGATAACGACCGAAAACGAGAAGGGGGTGTTCGGGCATGGTAACGTCGTTTTTTCGATGCCACGTCACAAAAACGATTGTGGGCATTACGCGCACCGAGTGGTCTTATGAATTATATAAACTAATAATTGTATTATTTTATGCTTGTCGTGTTGTGTCATGTTTATCGTGTTTTAATTGACTCGTTTTTGTGTTAATGAAAATAAACATGACATCGTGTCGTGTCGTGTTCATGTTATATAAAACCGTGTCGTGTCATGTGGTGTCAGACAAAAAAACACGTCACGATTGTCCGATTTGACATCCCCTAGATTTTCGTATTTCTTATCTGTGCAAATCTAAAAAAAAATAGGTTTTTTCGAAGACAACAATATAAACATGTGTTGTGTGTCAGGATGATCGTCGTCATTTTATGCCATTTTCTTCATAGAGTTTTTCGTACTTCTGAGTTCATTATGATGTATATAACCTAGTTGTAAGACCTGTGGACTACACGTGTTTACTAAAAAAATGTTATATATTATGGTTTAAAAATTTAGAAAGTTTAAATCTTGTAAGAATATGACAAAAATATTGAATTATTGAAATTAAAACCATTTCTATTTTAAATGTAAACAAATAATTTAAATAAATAAACAAATGAAATAATTGAGTTTTAATTTAGGAATTTTAAAATTAGAAGAAAAGTTGCATCGATGAAACTGATATGCATTTATTATTATATTTATTATATCTATTACATTTAAATACTATTCAGTTTAATAAAATGGAAAAAAGATCCCATAAGATGATATGTGGAAAAAATTTAATTTAAAATAACCATGTAATGACATGTGGCAAAATGAATGAGAGTGTGACATTTGGCAAAATATATTTTTATTTATTAGAGTAGATTTAAAGTAAAAGAATACGAATATATATATATATATATATATATATATATATATATATATATATTATTTTAAGTAGAGGGCCACAACTCCACAAGAGGCTCGTATATAAACTCGGTCTATTAAAAGATTTCTGCAGCCTATACAAACATTTTTGCAAGTGCCTACATATGACGCTATAGGGAGTGGCCTTGCCACCGCTCTCTCCAAAACCCTCACTAAGATTTGATACACAACCCTTAAGATTCGTTAAGCAAGTCGTCAAGACAAGCTCGCTAAGAGGCAGTGAGAAGAGAGAGAAATGTGTAAAAGCTTGGGATTGGTTGTTGGACTTTCACTATCATTTAATTACATTTCGACTCTATTTTTTTTTAAAAAAAACTTTTTTTTAAACATGTTAGGGGTGCTACCACTTTTTATAAAATTCTAAAAAAAATGCTAGTTAGGTGGAAGACAAAAAAATGACGTGACAAGCTCGCCTTACGATGTTGTTTTAGCCGGAAAATATTATTTTATTAGAAAACTAGTTGTGAGACTCATGTATTAAATAAGTTAATTTAAAAAAAAGTAAAATATAAATGTCAAAATATTTGTAAACTTTGAATTTATAAGAAAATAAGAAAAATAATGAATTATTATAATGGAAATGTTTTTTTATTTTTTAAATTTAAACAAACAATTTAAATAAAAAAAATAATGAGTGTTAATTTTGAAAATTTTGAAATTAAAAGGTAAGATGATTAATGAAATTGATATACATTTATTACTACATTCATTGCAATTATTACATTAAAATATTATATGAAATTTATTAAAATAGAAAAACTCATAAAATGAAATGTGGGAAAAAAAATTAATTCAAAATAACTACAAAATGACATTTGACAAATTGAATGAGAGTCGTGACAAGTGACAAAAAAAATGAGTAAATTACATGAATGGTCCTTATGGTTTAGGGTAATTTGCACGTTTGGTCCCTTACTTATTTTTTTAACTCGGAAGGTCCCTACTATTTGTTTTTGTTACGTGCTTGGTCCCTGTCTTGCATAAAAAGACTATTTTTCCCTTGAGTTTTTTAATTTATTTAAATAAGCACACCTCTCAACCCCACCCCTCACCCTACCTTACATACCCTATCATTTTTTTCTATTTAAATAATAGTCTTTTTAGGTAAGACAAGCACCAAACACGTAACAAAAACAAATAGTATGGACCAAGCGCGTAACAAAAACAAACAATAGAGACCTTCCGAGTTAAAAAAATAAGTTAGGGACCAAGCGTGCAAATTATCCCAAACCATGGGGACCATTCGTGTAATTTATTCAAAAAAAAATCTTCGCAAGATTTCGTTGGTCACCCTCTGGCTAAAATAATGGGTATTTTGGTCGATCCTTAACTTTTGATTAAATTTATAAAATGGTAATTATGATTAGATTAATCTGTTTTACTATTATTTCAAAACAGTACAACCATAACGATTATAAAAATAATAAAAACAACAAATATCAAAGGACTAAAACAAATATACACCCGACTTATTTGATTCCAATACATAGATACATTATTACATGTTAACAAAATTCGAAAAGTACAAATTAAAATGACAAACCCCTTTGTGTTTATTAGGATTGTCTTCGGAACAACAAAAATTAGAATCATCATTTATCTCTCTTTTTCTCAAGAATCTTATTATTTTTCGCCAAATAAAAACCATCTCTTTACTCGTCCAACCTTTTCTTGTTTATCCATTGATGCATATACCAATTCGAAATCTCAATCAATGCATGGTCTTGAAGGGTTTATAGACCTTGAGATCATTAATCACTCCAACAATGGAACCCGCAGCCGCACAAACCGAAATAGTTAGGCAAACAACACTCAACGTTTGGAGAGCAATCCATTTACTACTCCATTTAGGTATCTTCTTTTGAGTAATATACATTTCAATTGGAAAATAAACCGTTAGTGGCCAAAACCCACAAGCTCCAAGAATCCCAACAACATCTTCAAAAAACGGCATCAACATAGCAACAATGGTGGTCATACACACAAACATGCTCCTCCATATCAACCGAAATAAGTTGAGTTTGTAGGGTTTGGATCCCGGAATTGGAATGTGTATATCCTTTGTGATGAATTCACTTTCGGGAAAGTATTCCCTAGCGGTTTTTTCAACAAATGCAAATATGGGTTGTGCAAAAACTTGGTAGGCACCAACAAGATGAACTATGATGGCTACATTTGCAATGTCAACGAGCCAAAACGGGTCATAGAAACCGAACCCGGTTAGAAGGTTTCCCGGGGCATGGTCTCCAAAAGCTGCATACCCGAAGCATCCACAAAGCATATAAAAAATCGTTGTTGTTATTACACTTATTAAAGCCGCCCTCTTCATTGTTTTTTGTTCCGCTGGTGGGGATTTGATTGTATCCTGTTTATCAGACACCGTTAGATATGTAAAGTCCTAAATTTTCTTTTCTAGCGGATGTAACACTCCAATATACAAAATTTTATATCTATATTAGTTTAGATATAAAATTATACGGTTTATTATATATAATTGTTCATATATTAATCACCTGAATTTCAATAAGAACAGTCGAATAAGAATATGCAAAAGCAATAGCTCCAAATGCTTGGAAACTCCTCCATATTTTTTGTGTTTGAGTCACTTCCCCAACACTTATACCACCTAGACTTCCCTTGATTTTTCCATTATCTGGTGGTTAAACATTAAAATGCATAAATATCAAATTCATTATTTTATATATATAAAGTGAAAAATAAAATAAAATATAAAAGAACGTAACATACCGGCGAATTTGGCGATTCCGAGGCCAAGACCAATGGCGGAGTAAGTGAAGGACATGACGGCGGCCACCATGGACAGCCATGAAATCTCGTGGAAGTTTGGGATTTGAGAGAGAAGGATTTCCACAGCTCCAAACAATACCATAAATGGAGTCCCATTTATTCCACATGAACTATCATGGCCTTTCTCATGGAAACAACTTGATCTTTTTATCGCCCTTTTTTCATAAATCATTCAACAAAAAGATTAACATTTTTCAAAGGTTAATGAAAATATGGTTATATATATAGTTCATGCATCCACTCACATCATGCTGATGGAAGCTGCAATGGTGTATCCGATTGTAGTTCCGGTAAGATTGAAATACTGAATGAACCCACAAATTTTAAACTTAAACCCACCTGAAAGAAATCCCAAATTTGTATTCAGAATCTGGTTCTGAAGCAGTAATTAACTGGTTTTAATCGATTAGTGAAAGTAAAATAGTAGAATACCAAGATTCGCTCTGACAGCTTCACTGTATGTATAGTTTCGTTTTCCGGTGACGGGGTCGCCGGTGCGATAACACGATGCGAGAAGACAAGAGCAGTAGTAAGTTACGAAGGAAAAGAGAAAGAGGACGGTGGGTCCTGCGACCCAACCCAGCTGCGCCGTCGCCCATGCCAATGCCAGCACGCCGGAGCCTATCACCGCCGTGATGATATGTGCACTGGCACTTACAAGAGTCCCTGTCCTTTTGGGACGGCCGTCGTCGTCTAAGAATTTGGAGGGGTCCTCGGAGGCGAAGTCGCCGGAGACTTCAAAGCCTTGTTGGTAGTTTGATGCGGTTTTTTCATCCATTTTCATTTTGATTTCTAGTATGAAATAATGAAGAAGATTCACAGAGAATTAAGCGTTTGGATTTTTTATGGATAAAATGTGGAATGAAAGTGTGTATTTTGACTTTGAGTTGCTTTTTGTTGTGAATCTGAATCTGTTTTGAGATTCTGGTGATGAAGTTGAGAGGAGGGAAGGAGGGGTATATGTAGTCTCTGGTGTTGGGGACGTGAGAGACAATGCAAGCTACATGCCAAACGGAGAGCATAAATTACCAAAATACTTGAACTTGAAATTTAGTGAGTACCTTTTTATGGAATTGACGAATATTAGTTTTATTTTATTAAATTCAAATCCTTAATTAATAGCACATTTATAAACTTATATGTGTGAAGTTAGGTTTCATAAAAGAAAAAATGATAAAGTTGGTAAAAATTGACATAAGAGAATCTCTTAGATTATTAGAAGTGACAAAAAATAACATGTTATGAAATCCGATACTAACTCGTCATGAAGTAACGAGTTTGGATAAGATATTTCAACATGTTTAATTAAACGAGTTGACATCACATAACACGAAAATTAAAAGGGTAATGTTAGTGTTGAAAATTTCAACTCGACAATGACCCGTTTATTCATATGTAAGTTTTTGAATTTTTTTAAATAAACAAGAAAGATCTAAAACCAAACCATACGTAAAAACAAAAAAAAAAAGGGTTTAGTTGTTTGTAATGTGAAATCGATTTAGCCATCTAGGTCAAGACTCTATTTTTAGTTTTTATGTTATCCTAAACTACACAGTCCCTCGACACGACACGTTAATTAAATGGGTCGGTTTAAGATCAAACTCTCTCAACATGTTTATTGTTTTGACACAACACTCATGTTTGTTATGTGTATTAATAGTTTGCTAAAGTAAAAAAATATCGTTGTTAGAGTTTTTTCATTTCAAATCTTTTTCGATTTGTAAATTTACTAAGTTTTGAGATGAAACTTTTTTTACTGCTCTAATAATTATTAATCTAATTTTTATGGTTTTTTATTTTATTTTAATAGGACCAGTAACATAACGAAAAATCTCTAGAAAAAAAATGTTCCAGATCACCGCCCGATTCTACTCTTGGAACATAATATTAATTTTGGTCCCACTACGTTTCGTTTTTTCCACTCCTGGTTCGATATGGACGGTTTAGACGACGTGGTTCGTAATTCCTGGGCTCAAATTCCTGCGAGGGTGCTTCATGATAATCCTTGGATTATCTTTAAGAAAAAATTGCAAAACCTTAAAGCTAATATTCGTATTTGGAATGCTAATAATCGAAATGGGCTGAGGGCCTGTTTGTTTGCATCTTAATACCTCTTAATAAGGGGTAGGTCTGAATTTTTAAGATTCAGACCGTTTGTTTACCTCTTAAATTTTGGTCTGAATCTGAATTTTAGCACTTACCAAATCAGATTTGGAACTCTATCTGAAAAAATAAAAGACCCGCTATGCCCTTACCCCAAAACACGTACTCTCTTTCTTGCCCCCTTTCCTCCTTCTCAGCCGCTTCTTCTCCCTCACCGATCTCCAATAATCGATCGCCTGTGACGACGCTGTCGTACCCCAACACTGCCGCCTCCGACGCCGCCGCCTTCTCCTTCGACGCCTGCAACAGCGCCTCCTTCAACTCCGACAATCCAGGTTCGTTCTTCTTCCTTCTTTCCCCCCGAAATTCGGTTTTTTTTTTCTGTTTTTATGAATGAATTGGTCAATGAATCGGTTTTTTTTCTCCTCAAACTCACGCCTCCTCCGATTCTCTCTTCTCATCTATGCACACAAGCACCTCCGCTCCATCTGTTGTGTTCCCCCTGAAACTCGTTTTTTTCCTGTTTTTATAGAAAATTTGTTTTTTTTTCTTTTCCTTTATTTCTGAATTCATGTGTGGTTTGCAATCTGATGTTGAATTCGTGATTTTCTTATGTTTTTTTTTCTGAATTCATATGTTTTTTTTTCTGAATTCATATGTGGTTTGCAAACTGTTGTGTTCCCCCCTTAACTCTTTTCTTTGATCTCTTCATTTGTTTTGTTTGGATAACCTGGGACTACTTCTTTTTGAGTTAATTTGGTTGTAGCTATCAATTGGGATAGATTTGCCCTTATGTTTTTGTTAGTTGTTGGAATGAAGAAATTGCAAAAACTTGTCTTTTTTGAATTCATATTTCAGTTTAGATAAGATTACCCAAGTTTGAGCTTATCAGACTTTATCACTGTGAGTAATATTTGAAAAGGAATTCTTTTATGAGTTATGCATATGAATTATGAATATTGGCAAATGTTTCCAAAAAATCCAACAGTGGCATAACATTGTATAATATTGAATGTAAATTGGTTAACTCTCAAATGATATTTTGTATTGTCAACATGTATCCCATATTAATATCCCTATAATAGTTTTTTCATTTATTAATGATGAAGGTATTGAGCGTGTGCTCGGTGATGGTGTATGATAACAATTGTGTGAGGCAGGGATGATGGTTGCGTGTGTGATGAAGAGGGTAATGGGATGTCGGGTGTTAATGGTGAAGATGTGGCTGTAATAACTCCATTTGTATTACTTGGGAATTAATTTTAATAATATGAATTTGCTTTTTGGTTTCTTGTTGTAATATGATGTTTTTATTGTTGACATGTTTGTTGAATTTGTATTTTAAAGTTGTGATAATATAGAGTGGTTTAAATGTTGGTAAAATGATTATATGTAAATGTGGATTTCTCAAAATTTGGATAGTTTTATTTGGTATTTATTATTATTTTTAAATAGAAGGGTAAAATAATCATTTTTATCATTCAGCATAGCAATTCATAGGTTCCAACCAAACAACATATTAATAGTTCAGATCTTAAACATTCGGATCCTCTTAGAAATTCAGACCTCTTAAAAATTCAGATCTTAAAAATTCAGATCCTGCCAAACAGCCCCCGAATTTAAAGAGAAAAGAATTGCAGGATCTTCTTGAGTCGATTGATGCTCAACTTATGATTGATGATGGGTCAGCTACTCTTCGGGAACAAAGAATCACAGTTCAAAAGGATATTTCTGACATCGATCATAAGAATCAGGCGGATATAGCTCAAAAAGCTAAGATTCGGTGGGGTATTGAAGGAGATGAGAACTCTGGTTATTTCCATGGTACTATTAACAGAAAAAGGCGTCAATTGACCATTCGAGGTGTGTTTAGAGACGGGGTGTGGATTGATGACCTTATTTTAGTCAAAGACGAATTTCGAGCGTTCTACCAGTCTCTTTTTTCCAAACAAAGAGGAATCTGGCCTCTTACTGCTGCTGATAACTTCTCTACTTTATCAGATTCTCAAGTTCAGTTTATTCAAGCCCCATTCACCCGTGAGGAAATCAAGAAAGCTGTTTGGGATTGTGGTTCTTCTAAAACTCCAGGACCGGATGGTTTTTCATTTGGGTTTATCAAGCGTTATTGGGATCTTATAGAAGAAGATGTGGTTGCTTTTGTCATGCATTTTTCTCTCATTCGTCTATTCCTAAAGGATGTAACGCTTCTTTCTTTATTGTTATCCCAAAAGTCCGTGATCCGAAGACTGTTAGAGATTTCAGACCTATTAGTTTAATCAGTAGCCAATACAAAATCATTGGTAAACTTTTAGCTAATAGGTTAGCGGATGTTATTGGTTCGGTTGTGAGCTTGGAGCAGCCTGCTTTCATCAAAGGCAGCCAGATTTTAGATGGGCCTTTTCTTCTGAATGAGGTGGTAGCTTGGTGTAAGGCCTCTAAAAATCCTCTTATGGTCTTTAAAGTGGATTTCGTAAAAGCCTTTGATTCCCTCTCATGGGATTATCTTCATGAAATTATGGAGATTATGGGATTTGGTTCGACTTGGTGTCGTTGGATTATGGAGTTACTCTCATCTGCTAGGGCTTCTGTCCTTGTTAACGGATCCCTAACGCAGGAATTCCAGATACAAAGAGGGTTGAGACATGGAGATCCACTCTCTCCTTTTCTCTTTATTCTTGCTATGGAAGGGTTACATGTTGCTCTCGCTAGAGCCCAAGAGGCTAATATTTTCATGGAGATTTCTATTGGTGGCATTACTATCTCACACCTTATGTATGCTGATGATGTAGTGTTGCTTTCTCCTTGGTCTTTGGAAAATGTGTCCCATATTGTTCATATTCTGCGATGTTTTTTCTTGGCTTCGGGTCTCAAAATTAATTTGCATAAAAGCAAATTAATTGGCATGGGGGTTGATTATTCCCAAGTTGCGGCTACTGCTAATCAGATGGGATGTACTTTGGATTCCCTTCCTTTCATGCATCTTGGCATTTCAGTGGGCGAAAACATGTCTAGGGTCATTGCTTGGTCTTCCATTATTGATAGATTTCGAAATAGATTAGTGGGTTGGAAGGCTAAAATGTAACGCGCGTGTTTCTAGGCCAGACATTAATATTGACATAATAGTCTAGGTTAACCTTTGAAACTCATTTTGAAGAAATGAAAAGGAATTATGTGAATATTATGTGTTTTATGCTTAATTACTAGGATTTAATTAATTAAGAATAAAAATGAGCGTCGAAAATAAATATTAGATAAAGCCGATATCTATTACGAAAGTTGTAGTGGTTGTGACAAGGGTTATGGATATATAAAGAATGCCGAAATCCGAGTTATAACGAAGAAGTTATGACCTGTCGAAGTTTCGCGACAAAACCGGCACGGTGCCGAATGACGTAAAAAGTGAGTTTTTGATAAACTACTTTTTAGCCTTAGTGATCTAAATAAAAGTCGTAGTGTTCGTTAAACCGAGAGTATGTATAAAAAGAACGTCCAAATCTGACTTCGTATGAGGAAGTTATGATTTTTCTAAGTTTCAGCTTAACAGTAGACAGCTAAAAACTCGAAGTTTAGATCGAGTGATTTTTAGCCGACACAACCTAAACGAGAATCGAAGGTCTCGTCAATAGCAGTACAACGGTAAAAAGACAGACGAAAACGGACGTCGGATGAAGCAGT